CCCTGGGTCCATTTTGATGCCCTCGTGCGAAATGTGATATCCAAGGTAGTCAATTTTCTCTTGATGGAATTCACATTTGGACAGTTTAGCATACAATTTGGCTGCTCGCAGTTTGTGTAGCACTGAGCGTACCAGTTTCACATGGTCATCCCTAGTTTCTGTGTAGATAAGGATGTCATCAAGATAAACCAAAACCCCCTTGTATAAATGTTCGTGGGGCACCTGATTGATCATTTGCATGAAAACAGCTGGAGCCCCCTGTAGGCCAAAAGGGAGAACATTGAACTGGAAACAACCCATTGGGCAGTTAAAAGCAGTTTTCCACTCATCTCCTTCTTTAATTCGGATTCGGTAATACGCCTCTCTCAGGTCCAACTTCGTGAAAATCCTCCCTTTGGCCAGGTGAGCTAACATGTCCTTCATCAGGGGGAGGAGGTACATGTTTTCCATGGAAATAGCATTTAAATTTCGATAGTCAACTACCAAGCATTTGGAGCCATCTTTCTTTTCACGGAACAACACTGGGGCTGCCACCCGAGGCCTAGCGGGTTGGATGAAGCCACGTTTCAAATTTTCATCAATAAACGATCTCAACTCCTCCAATTCCCATGGCGTCATCGAATATAGTTTTGGTTTCGGGAGCATCACCCCAGGCAGAATTTCAATGCTACAGTCTGTTGACCGATGAGGCTCATCGGAAGCCTTTTCGCTAAACACTTCTCTTAAGTCCTAATATTCCTTTGGGATTTTTTCCTCTCCCTCCAAGCTCTCGACACTTGTGGAGGCTGACTCAACCGGGTTCTGAAGTTTCGGATGGGATCGCTCCTCCCCTTCCGGTCACTGATTGGTACGAATCCGTAAGCACCCTTTCCTCCAATTCACATGGTGATTCCACTTGCAAAGCCAGGGCAGTCCCAATATTAATGGATGCTCCATCCCAGGGGCCACAATAAAGCACAGAATCTCGCTATGGGTTCCCATGGTCATCTCTAGGGGTTCCGTTATAAAATGTGCAGGGCAACCTCCCTCCACTGATCCATCCAGTTGGCAAAAGGATATGGGCGTTTCTAAAGTTCTCAGTCTGATGCCCATCTCCTTAACTACTTTCATGCTGATTACGCACCTCATGCACCCAGAGTCTAGTAAGGCTAGCATCTCTCCTTCAGTCCCTGAAGTGAGCACCCTTAATTTTATTGGGATGGTCATGGGGCCCTGGTTTGGACTTACCGGGACGTCGTCTTCTGAGTCAGTTTCACTCTCTTCAAAGAAGGTCAGAGGTCCCAGCTCGTCTCCTGCTGGAGGGGTGACCTCTACAACCTCCCCCGTCTTTAACACGTTTTCGCGAGGCTTGACTGGGTGGTTTTCAGGCTTCCTCCCTGCCCTCTGCGCTCCCTTTGGATCCAGCTTGACCCTGCAATCTGCAATCTGGTGGCCCTCCTTCCCGCATCGAAAACAGGCAGTGGATTTGGGTCTTGCCATTACTCCTCCCTTCCGAGGCTTTGGGGCCTCTCAGAGATGCAGGGGGGGGGATGGTTTGCTCCATACAGAGCCTCCTCTGCATCTGCTTTGGATCAGATCTATTTCCACTTCTGCTAGCATGTACCACAGTTGCAGATCATATGGATCCCTTCTGGAGATGCACATGTGGTATGTATCTTCATTTAGGCCATCTTTGTAGGCTTCTATCAGGGCTCCCTGGGACCAGCCTCGGATGTGGCATGCCAGCTGTCTGAACTCTTGGGTGTAGTCAGCAACTGACCTCCCCCCTTGATTTATGGTTTTCATTCTGATCCTAGCCTTCCTCTCTGCTAGAAGGTCCTCAAACCTTCTCCTCAATGCAGTCATGAAGACATTGAGATTCTGCAGTTGGGGGGAGTTATCATTATACAAAGTCACCATCCACTCTGCCGCTATCCCCTCCAGGGCCCTGGTAACACATCTCACCTTGGCTGCTTCAGAAGTGAATTCTCCCTCATATTCTTCCATATAGCTCCAAACTTGTGCCAGGAAGAAACCCAAATCCTTGGGATTTCCCCCAAATTTCACTTCCAATGGAGGCAGGTTGAGGGCTCTGCGTCTTCCAGGGATCACACTTCCCACTGGGGCCCCCGGAGTTGCAGCCGGCTGCTGCGCTGGTGTAGGTTGAGCTAGAGGGGTGGGGGCAGCCCAGCTGCCCCTGGCTGAACTTGCTTCCCCTTCCCCCTCATACCTTGGAGCGATGCGAGGCTTCTCGAAAGCATCATTGAGGAGCTGTCTGGCTTGATCCAGCATGCATTCCCTCTCTTCCCTTTCTTGCCACAGCTGCTCTCTCGCACGTCTTCAGGTTACGTTGACTCCAGGAGGGGGGAGGTCTTCGGGATCGCTCCCTCCAACACCCAATGACCATCTGGGCCTCTGAGCTGGAACTTCCTCCAGAATAAGGTCGGCTAGCAGATCGGCGGCTGGCACCTCTGGTAGCAGCATCGACTGCCCCCCCACAGCTCCCTGGTTGTCTTCTTCACTAGCTGGAGATGACATGATGTGAAACCCCCTCAGAAGAAAAGTTGATATTTTCTCCGGGTGGGCTGATGGTGAGATTCAGAATAATGTCAGTCTGTGCTCCATTCAAAATCCAAGAAAGAAATACTCAGACTCCATAGACTAGAGCAAAGTTTTTTCTTTTACTGAAATTCAAAGTGGAAGCAACAGGTAGAATTCTGAATCTAAAAAATTAGGCGCGCAGATCACATATACAAAGGGGTGAAATTGATTCCACCCCCCAAAGTCCAAGATCTTCCTCCAATAAAAAGTTCTGAATGTGATCATGTGGGCATCTGCAGGTGGTGATGAGGCTTCTGTCTGTTGACCTTGACATATTTTGATAAAATTTAGCAGTTGCCCAGTAGAAAGACAGTTGAGCAAGGAAATAGAAACTTAAGAAGAAGAATTCTATACTCCCCCTCCTCCTTCTCATTTACAGCACAGGAATGTAACACCTCCAGCTCTCTTCCCTTCCAACCCCCGCTCCCCCCATTCCTAATGACAGCCGAAAGATGATGCAGAGCAGTGAGAAAGATGCATAGCAGTAGAAAAGGTATAGAAGAGATCTTGAAGGCTGACATTCAGATCCATGTTTAAAATAGAGGTCGGTTGAAAACAGAAAGAGAAAGAAGGGGACCAGGTTTATGGGATTACTGAAAACAACTGGGAAACTGTGCACAGACCAAGGTAAGAAAAGTGAACTTAAGTATTGCCTTGGTGGTTAAGAGGATTAGGTAGGGCTGTGAGGTGTATGGACAGACCCTAGCAGTCCTTGGGCTGTATTGAAGATCGAATAAAGGTCTCTATAGATGTTGATCTTTAAAATAAGCCAGCGTTTGCTGGGAGATTCAGGTTGATAGAGAAGAGTTTGGATCTTTAAAAAGCTAGTGTCTGCTGGGAGATTCAGGCTCTCCAGGGCAGAGACAGACCTTTAGTGGCAGTAAGGGATGTCTTTTGCTCTGGCCAGGTGCCAACTGTGTGCGTATTTAAGTCTCACTGGAACAAGTTGGTAAGGATTGTTCCAGTCTGGCAATTCCGGTGGGTCCCAAGAGAAATGTGTGAAAGAGAAGTTTAGTTCAAACTTGCTCTTGAGAGGCCTGGCAAACAATGTGTGAAAAAGCCAGCTTCTGCTGGGAGATTCAAGCTAGAAAAGGAACATGCTCAGGGCAGAGACACATAATAACAATTTAGGTCTTTTAAATTTATTTAAAATTTTTATTTTTAATCCCTTTTAATTATTTAGTACTTAAGGAGATAGAACAATGGGTGTATCTTCGAGTAAAAGTGAGAAGTTCACTAAAACAATTAGGAAGAATCCCAAATTGTAAATAGACCTGAGTAGTCCTTTAGGGAAAAATACTTAGAGGTTTGGAAGCCCCTCGATACAGTACACTAGGGCTGACCAAAGAAGATATGGTTAAGTTATGCTGTTATGTGTGGTAGAAAGAATTAAGAGTAAAGAAGAAAATGTTTATTGCTCTTCCCACCCATGGTTTAGCAAGTAATAAAAAGGTTTTGCCTGTTTAAATGGAAAGACTCAGATAATTTGACTTGATCAATTTGATGTGATTTCTATTAAAAATGCTTACATGTTCATGTATAATATTGCATGCAGAATTGAATGGAATTGAATTGAAGAAAAATTATTTAGACCTGCGTATAGCCCCAATTGAGGCTGCTGCAGTTCAAAACAAAACATAATTGTGACATGTTTGGCCAGCCAGAGAATTAAGTTGCCTTTTGGGATTGGACATAGAGCTGTGGAACCACTCTTTGAGTTGTCCCACTGCTCTGAGGAAAAAAAAACCTACAAGTTGCCCAAAGAAAGAAAAAGTGGAGATTGAAAGGGATAAAACCTCCCCAGGTCTGGAAATGTTGTGTGTGAGAATTTGTCTGTGTGTAATCATGACAGTACACAAAATTATTTAGACAATGGAGCTCATTGGCTCCTGTTAGGAATGTAAGTCACCTAACAGTTAGTTGGGTTGGAAAATATATAAACCAGGATAGACATTTTAATACTGTCTCTTTAAGGGAATGCTAAAATTGTAATTGGGTGTGGTTCCGCAAATGGCCATAAGATGGAGCCAGAAAACTGGCTTGTCCTGTTCTGTTCTGGTGTTTCTGGAGAGTGTTGCCATTCCTTCATTTTTCCCTATTGACTATTATTCTTGGATTTGATGTGAGTCTGTTACTGAACTGTTTTTGATACTGGACTTTGTTATTGCATTATCCCTGGATTGAAAACTGATTGCTTTAACTGTAAATGACTTGGACTGTTTTGTTGAACTTTCCTTAAACGTTTATTGGAAGTAAAAACCCACATTTTACTATACAGTGTATCTGTGTGCTGTTTGTGTGTTATTCTTCACTACTCTCACTACATCCCCCTGTGTGCGCTCATTCTCCTAACGGGGAATTACCTCAACAGCTCTCAGAAAAGAATTGTAAGTATGTAAGCCATCTGATTACAGTACAAATGTGTGAATATGTTGATGGTAAAAAAGTTGGTGTAAATGTGTATTGACCACATCCCAGATTAAAAGGAGAGTAAGAACTAGCATGTGCATGGAAATGAGAAAGGTCCCATGGAGAAATGTGTGTAATTTACTGAAGAGAGAGAGAAAATTATTTTGTTTGAAAGGCTGCTGAGTGGAGAAAAGGGGTGAGATTTCTGTGTAGTATTTTAAAGGTTTTTTTTTCTTTCTTTTCTTGTCCTTGCTGGTTGTAAATTTTTCTTTCTCTTGCTCAAGGACTTTTTGCCTTGAAAGAGCAAGACAAACAAGAAAGAGGGGGAGTGAGGTTTTTGCTCACTTTAACCATTTTTTTTCTGCTTAGTTGAAGCATTGAGCTTTTGCCTGATAAAGGCAGGGCTGGAAAATAACTTTTTATAGGTTACACAACTTGCAAAGATAGTCATTACTGTAGAAACACTATTTCATATCATGATTTTTCTCAGCACTTCTGCAAAGAAACCTTAGATGGCTAGGCTGAGGTGGGCAGTATGCCTAGAACTTTATCTTTGAAGGTGGCTCAGCTCCCAGTTTACAATGGAGCTCAGCTCAGCAAGAGAATCAAAATTCAAACCAGCTGCACTCTGTATATGCTCTTAATCCATATTTTGATCAAAGCAGAGAATTGACACTAAAGTTTGACTCAAAATACCTCATTTGTTTGTTTATTTGTTTGTTAGCAACACAAGTTGTTGCCCTTTTAGGAATTGTTACAGAGATGAGTTAGAAATTACAATAGGTAGAAAGAAAGTGTCATCACTTGAGACTTTCAAGAAGAGATTGGACTGCCATTTGTCAGAAATGGTGTAGAGTCTCCCGCTTGGGCAGAGGGGTTGGACTAGATGACCTACAAGGTCCTTTCCAATTCTGATTCTCTTTATCTGTTGAAGTTGTTGTTAAATGAGCTATCAGTCAAGGGTAAAAGAACATTATTCTGTTGGGATAGTTGTGTAAAAGTAAAAGAAGGAAGAGATGGACTTTTGGTCTAGCTAGCTAGAAAGTTATTTGCAGACTTGTGTTGATTTGGAAGCCATGATGGCAGTTGTAGGAGAAGAAGAAGTTAGAGAAAGTGAGGGCAATAGAAATGAGGGAATGGAGTAATAACGGGAAAGAAGATGTAGTGGTACAGGCAGGGAGGACAGAGTGAGGAGATGTTTTGGGTGTGCCAGCCTGGACATTTCAGGAAAAACTGTCCGATCCAAAGAAGGGAGGTGCAAGTGTATAATATGATGGCAGAAGATGAAAGTCAATACTAGGGGTGTCAGGAATGATGTAAGGAAGAGGAAGTAGTGTTTTTAATTGACACTGGGGCAGCAAGAAATATATATATATATGTTGTGGCTCCGGGCTTGGATTCAGCTCCTGTGACTGATATGAGTTCAAGTGAGGAGGTCATGGCAGAAAAATATGAGCCGGCATGGCTCAGTGATTGGACTGGTAACCAGGATGAGGAGATGGACGTGACAAAGGACGACAGACCTGATGTATTAGAATTGTCAGGACCTTTGACCTCCTCTGGTTCCTTATCTGATCAACAGCCGGGAATGGCTGACAGGGAAGTTTTGAGAGAGTCTTCTAGTGGAGATGAGAACTTGGAAAATTTGTGGTTAAATGTAAAAAACAGAAGACGGTTGAGAAGGCAAAATCAGCTGGAGCGAATGAGGAGAGCGAGTCAGTAAATTAGTACGTTGCCTCAATGAGTATAAAAGGACACAGCTGGGCTGGTACATTTTGCCAGGAACAAAGTGACTATTTGAGTGAGGACGTTACAGCAAGAAGCTCTGAGACTGGAGATTTATTGCCAGGACTGGTTTGCCGGACAGAGTAAAGATTTATGCTGTGGATTGAGGTTTCTGCCAGCCGTTATCTTATAAGACTTCTTTCCGTTTGATTTAATTGTGAAACGGCTGCTTTCTGTTTTGTTCGTTTGAATTTTGAAGGGGAGTCATAACACACACACACACACACACACACACACACACACACACACACATATATATATATATATATATTCAGAAGCAGGTGTTAACTTGCTGGGAAGAGATTCCCTAGCAGATCTTCAATTGAAATTTGAATTTGGGCCAGTAGAGCCAATTCTTATGAGGATGTTGAACCCCACTTAAAATAACACTCAAGAATCCAAACGAAGTAGTTAGGAAAAAGCAGTACTCAATTTCTATAGAAGAATAGAAGGGGTGGCATCCCAGCCCTTACCTAAAAACAAGCAAGAACTAAGGAAATTCTTAGGCTTGGTGGGATACTGCAGGCTATGAAATGATGGGTGTGCTGATCTTACCAAACCCCTGTATGCAAAGTTAATTGAATCTGAACTTTGAAATTTGAAGTGGGAGGGAAATGAAAGAGGAAGCTTTGAAAATTTGAAACAAGCCTTAACTAAGGCTCCTGTGTTAAGTTTGCCAAATTTGTAAAAGCCATTCCATCTCTTTGTAAACACAGAGAATGGAATTGCACAAGGTATGTTGGCTCAGGACTGGGAAGGATAATGGAAGCCTGTGGCATTCCTGTCAAAAATAATGGAAAATTGACCTTTGGGGGAGTCCTCATTATGAGCACCCCACATCAAGTCAGAACCATTCTTCAGCAAAAAGCAGGAAGATGGCTGACTGATTCCCGAATTCTGATATATGAGGCAATTTTGATGAAGGAAACAGATTTGGTTTTAACCACAGACCATAATTTGAATCCAGCACATTTCTTAGCCAACACTAGACCAGTGGATCAATATGGATTAGAACATTATTGTGCTGAAGCAATAGACTTACAAACTAAAATAAGATTTGATTTGGGAGAACACTCCCTTGAGAAAAGAGAGGCAATTAATATCGATGGGTCTTCTAGGGAGGAGCACAGAAAAACATACCAAAGAGATCCTGGAAGCGGGGGTGGGGCGGGGTGTCTGCCTCAAAGCTGGTCTATTCAAGCTTAAGGATTGTATGCCCTAAATCAAGCTCTATGTATTTTGGAAGGACACAGATTCAAGATATGTGTTTGGGATGGTGCATATTTTTGGCAAGTTTGGGTGGAAAAGAGGAATGACAGCAAGGGAAAAGAACTAGTACATGAAATTCTGACTAAGGAAATAATGAGTTCCTTACAAAAACCTAGAAAAATAGCAGTGACATATGTGAATGCACACTGAAAAGAGAACATAGGTAATTCGATTGCTGATGAGGAGGCAAATTGGCTGCGAGTGTGGAGAGAATGGGGGTATTAATTCCTGAGTTAGAATCAGTGGGAGAAATTCCTGTGTTCACTGAAAAGGAACAAAGAGAGTTGCAACAAATAGGAGGACAGAGGGGGAGAAGGGAAAGTGGTTTCTCCCAGATGGAAGACAAATAATAAGTAAACCAATTGCATGAGAGTTGTTGGAAAAATTACATGAAGGAAGTCATTTGGGAATTCAAGCCATCATAGATGAACTTTTGAAATGTTATGGTTGTATTGGAATATACCCTATAGCAAAATCACTAATAGACAAATGTTCAATTTGTAAAAAGGTGAACAAACAAGCCATCAGGAAACAACAGATGGGTGGAAGGTCACCAGCTTTAAGACCTTTTAATGTATTCAAGTAGAACTTACGGAATTGCCAAAGGTGGGGAGAGGAAAATATTTATTGGTCATAGTGGACCACCTCACAGGGTGGATGGAAGCTTTTCCCTGCAGTAATGCTATAGCAGCAGTGGTGTCAAGAGTATTGTTAGATCAAATTAATATTGGAAACACATATGCCATGGAGTAAATGTCTTCCTTTAGCCCTATTGAGAATACAGACCCAACCTAGAAAGGACATTGGAAGCAACATGTACATAAACTGTCCAGATATTTCAATTTCCTCAGGAAACAAGGACTTTTGGCTCAAACACCACCTTTGGAGTTTCCAGTCCATAAATTCCACCACAGTGATTGGGTGCTGATCCAGAGTACTCTCTTCATAATCTACATAAATGACCTCTGTGATCATATTAAGAGCAACTGCGTTCTCTTTGCTGATGATGTAAAGCTATTCAATACCACAGATAATACTGCTACCCTTCAAAAAGATCTTGACTATGTATCAGAATGGTCAAACAAATAGCAACTTCAAATCTCAACAAATAAATGCTCTGTCTTACATATTGGCAAAAAAAAAAAAATCAGAAAATAAAATACAGGCTGAATAGTCAAGATCTTGTTGATGATCCAAGCTCTGTAAAGGACCTTGGAATACTCATCTCTAATGATCTAAGTGCTAGAACCCACTGTAACTACATAGCCAAAAAAGCATTAAGAATTGTTAACCTAATCCTATGTAGCTTTTTCTCTGGTAATATCACACTACAAACTAGAGCATACAAAACATTTGCTAGACCAATACTTGAATACAGCTCATCAGTCCAGAACCCACATTACGTATCTGATATTAGCACAGTTGAGAAAGAAATATTTCACAAGAAGAGTTCTCCACTCCTCTACTCATTGTAGAATACCTTATGCCACCAGGCTTGAAATTCTAGACCTAGAAAACATTGAATTACGCCGTCTTCGGTCTGATCTAAGTATGGTATATAAAATCATACATTGCAATGATTTACCTGTCAATCAATACTTCAGCTTCCACCATAACAACACAAGAGCACACAATAGATACAAACTAAAGGTTAACCGCATCAAACTTGATTGCAGGAAATAAGACTTCAGCAACAGAGTGGTCAATGTCTGGAATACTCTACCTGACTCTGTGGTTTCTTCCCCAAACCCCAAAAACTTTAACCTTAGACTGTCTACTATTGACCTCACCCCTTTCCTAAGAGGTCTGTAGGGTGGCGTGCATAAGCGCACCAACATGCCTACCGTCCCTGTCCTATTGTTTCTTTTATTTTTCTTATATGTACCCATTTCATGTATTCATAACCATGTATATACTTATACCTATTATCTTGTAAGCGATTGACAAATCAAGTAAATAAATAAAATAAAATAAATAAAAAGTAGGAAGAAAGAGAAGTTAACCCCAAAATGGGAAGGACCATTCAAAGTACTACTCACCTCCAAAACCACAATCCGGACGGCCGAGAAGGGTTTGACGCACTACACTCACATAAAAGGCCCTGTGTCTTCACCAACTATCTGGACCAGTGTTCCACATAGAGACCCATTGAAGTTAACCTTGCAGAAACAATAAACTAATAACTGATAAGATTTGCCCCCATAGGTTCTGAATTCAAGTGGAAGGAGTGAAAAGAAGTGATGAGTCCAAATACAGTGGAGAAGTAAAACCCGGAGCTGGGACTAGGAGCAGAAACCCATATACATGGTGTTAAAAATTAAAAATAAGGTTCAATCGTATTAAGTAAAATAATGGGAAAAATATCTTTTTAAGTCAACTTCTCTTTTAAGAAATTTTCATGCTGATATTTGTTATATGTTTGAGAAACTGGTAAAGGATATTTTGAAAGGAGATAATTTACCAGTTCACAGAGACTGATGCATGATGCTGGTGAGTGGATTGGAATTGGGATAAGTATGCCTTTGGTAATATTGTGGGCCTGGATGGCTTATTGTGCTAGGAAAGAGTGGATTCCTATAATGTGTCCAAAAAGATCAGAGAGAAAAGACAGAGACTATACCCCTCCCCGATGTGTTGGTTCTGTGATTGCATATGTCAGCGTGAGTGTTGCTGTTGTATTCATTGTCTTTTATAACAAGAATGTGAAGAATGCATACCGACACAAAAGGTAAAATCACAAAAACATTGAAATATCACACAGCCTGTGGATGCGAGGGGCAGAGTGTCTCATATAGTTATAATGGAGCACAGTACCCTAAATGTACAGAAGAAAAGGAAATATTTTGTTATGACCCTCGCAAGGATCCTAGACAATGGGCTTTGCAAATAAGAAGTGGGGGAAGAAGAAATTAAAAAATGGTTAGGGCAGTCGGGGTGGAAATTTTTAATAATTGGAAGCAAGCCTTATTTATGGCAGGTATGGTTGTATTGGGTTTAATCTGTTTACCATGTCTGATACCCCTTATCAGATGATGATGGTGAATGATGTAAATGAACACACCATTCTTATGAAATTTGAAAATGTTGAAGAGATTAGAGAAGTAATGTTTTATTTTATGTATGTTTGAAAAATAGAAAGGGTAGAATTGTTAGAAATAAGTAAATTCAAAAATAAAATGGTATATAAGATGCTTAAAATTTTCACAAATGGGGGTTGGACTGGATGACCTTGCAGGGTCCCTTCCAATTCTATTAATCTGTTATCAAATGAAATATATCTCTCTGTATATGCATGCTTTGCTTTTATACTTTTTTTATTCCCTGGTTTTTTTTATCCTTAATCCAATTGTACCATTTTTTCCCATACTGTACAATATTTTGAGTCTGCCTCATCCTTTAGTTTTTGGGTAAGTATGTCCATTTTGGCACATTCAAAGAACTTCTGGGTTATCAGATTGTTTGTTGGCATCTGGTTGCCTTTCCAGCATTGTGCTAATGCGAGTCTTGCTGCAGTAATTATATGAAGAATTAGATATTTCATTTCTTCTGTGCGTTCACCTTTTATCATTCCCAATATTTCAGCTTTGAATTCTAATTGAATATTTGTAATTTCTTTCATCCATATTCTTCTTTTTTCCAGTATTTTTTACTTTTAGGGCAGAGCCACCGTGCGTGGAAGAAGGTGCCCCTACTTTGCTTACATTTCCAACAAAGCGGACTTAGGTTTGGATACATATTAACCAACCCTGAGGGAGCCAGATACCACCAATAACACATTTTGTATTGATTCTCTTTATAGACCGCCTATTTTGCTACTTTATAATTTTGCTTCAAGATTTTTTTCCCAGTCTTCCAGGTTGATGTTATGTCCTACATTCCTTGCCCATGCAATCATTGGGCCCTTTACTATTCTTCTGCCAATTCAAATTCTAGTAGGTAATTATACATTTTGGAGATTATTTTTTCATCTGTTCCCTCTAATATTTTGTCTAACTGATTCGGCTTTACCTCTATTCCAAATTCTTCTACATCTTTTTAAGTTGTAAATATGGCCACCACTCTATCTTCATCCCTTGCTCTCTAAGCTCTTGATTTGTCTTTAGTATTCCTTGGGAGTCTAAAACATTGTAGTATTTGATCCTTCTTGCAGTTTCTAATGCATTGGGGTGAATCAATGCCTCCATGACGAATACCCACCCTGGAATCTTCATATAATGTCTATGCTTAATCTATTTCCAAATCTTCATTAATGAATTTCAAATTGCATGTCTATTAAAGTAAGTAGATCTTGTTTCCAGGGTTCCACATGAAGGCATGCCACCCCACCTGCAAATGGAGGTTGGACTGGATGACTTTGCGGGGTCCCTTCCAATTCTATCAAATGAAATATATCTTCTTGTATATACATGCTTTGCTTTTATACTTTTGCCATACTCCATTGTTAAGCCTTTTTATATTTTTATCTTATGTATATGCCTTTTATATTATTATTATGTTGCTGGGGGGGGGTTGTTATAATCTCTTTGGGAAAATGGTAGTCTATGATGAGCTTAGAAAGAGCCCCTGATGAGGGGATGCTACATTCCTTAATGCTAAGG